TTTTTTGAGACCGAGTCTCACTCTGTCACCCAGGCTGGAGTGCAGTGGCACATCTCGGCTCACTGCAAGCTCCACCTCGCAGGTTCACGCCATTCTCCTGCCTCAGCCTCCTGAGTAGCTGGGACTACAGGCACCCGTCACCACGCCCAGCTAATTTTTTGTATTTTTAGTAGAGACGGGGTTTAATTATGTTAGCCAGGATGGTCTCGATCTCCTGACCTCGTGATCCACCCGCCGGCCTCCCAAAGTGCTGGGATTACAGGCATGAGCCACCGTTCCCAGCCCCGGGGCAGAATATATTTCTAATGTGAATGTTTTCTAATTGGAATTTTTGCAAAGTGAGGTTGTGATTCTTTGGTACTGTAAATCATAGCCTTTGGTTTTCAGGGGAGAAGAGAGCTGTGGCCCTGTATAGTGACATGGTATATCTGGACTATTGCCTTCAGCCACATCAAAGAAATGAGGGGACTTAAAAGACATGCAAAGGTCAAGGGGTCATGGGAATCGAAGGCCTGAATGTTAAATGCATCAGTCCAAAGGACCTCAACAGAATATTAGAAATGGAAGAGACTACATAGTAGATACTAGCTTGTAAAATCACATTGGCTAGGAAGCATGGTGTATCTGTTAGGATATTGGTTGGTTTGCTTTAACAAGAACCAAAAATGACCAGAGCTTAAACAAGATGGAGGGGCTAAGTCCTGGACAGTTAGGGCAGCTCTATTCCACAAGAGCATTCAGGGACCCAGGCTCCTTCATCACAAAACTCTACCATCCTTAGAATGTTGCCCTCATCCTCTTGATTGAGGAAGGCTGATCCTCACCACATCCATGTTCTAGCTTAGGGGAAAGGGAGAGAAAGAGGAAGGCAGAGGGCATATGCTCCTGTCCCAGAGCATGACCAAGAGGTTACACATATCACTTCCCTTTACATCTCATTAGCCAGAACTTTGTCTCATGGCCTCACCTAGCTGCAAGGGAAGCTCAGAAATGCAGTCTTTTTTCTGGGTGGCTATATGCTCTGCTAAAATAAGGGGGAAAATAGATATAGGGACAATTAGCAATCTGCCACATGGAGTTGTTCTACCTGGGTCTTGACCTTGAGCATTTGCAACTCTGCAGACTGATGTTCTTGGATGGGAATAGAATGACCCCATTGTATTTCTCTGTTGCAGATGAACCCGAATGGCCCAGCCTGGTGCTGGTGGATGTTAGCGGTTCTTCCCTTGGAAAGCCGAGCTCAGCTCCCCTTCCTAGCAATGAGGTCCTTAAAGGACAGACTGAATGGTATTCGACGAGTCCTGGCCTTCATATCCCGAAACCAAAACTAGTGAGTGGATTGCTGAAGAGGAGCTCCCACCTTCCCCACTGCCGTTGGGGGGAGTCTTGTAAATATATCTAATTGCAATAATATCTTAACAGAAGGGAGTGTCAAACAGAGGCGTGAGCCTGCTGTTGATCACAGAGAGAAATTGAGTAGAAAGACCAAAAGAATGTGACCTATTTGAAACTTTCTGTCTTAAGATGCTTCTTGACATGCTGCGTAACTACATAAACAGCAGAGGTATTTAAGAGCCCAGAAAAACATAATTTGATTTTAACATTAAAATTTCCAAAAGTTTAAAGTGGTTTTGCTTTAATATTCTTTCTTTCATAGATCAATGACTATGTGGTTGAAATGTGAAAACAAAGATACTAATAATGTTGCTGTATAATTTCACTGACTTGAGGTCTCATTCCAAATGGTTCAGGTTTTATAGAGCATTGTGTAAAATAATGTTCATACTTCTTTCTGTTTTAATAATTTATTTTTTGCACTACTGTATCCTTTTTTCTACATGTATGTTTGTAACTATGTAAGCGTATATTGCTCAAAAGTTCGTTGCTTTATTTATTGATGTGGTTTACCGTGTACCTAGGGGGAAATAACAATACTAGAAGTGTGCAGTTTTTGCTTTAATCTGTTTTTTACTACGGTGACACTAGTTCTTAGACCATTTCTGTATCTATCCAAGTGGATGCTTAAAAGAAGTTCAGAATGATGCTAAGATAATCTGTCTTCAGAGTCCGCTTTTTTTTTTTTAAGTTTGAACTAAACAATATAAAATACTTAAGGGATTTGGCCTAGATTATGGTGTAAGCCAAGGTAAAGTAAAATAATTCATTTTCTGTGTGTAATACAGAACAAAGCTGAAAGAATTATTTTTATTATAGGCATTTATTTCAGCAATCTAATTGTACGTGTATCTAATTTTTCCCTAGTGCAGTTAGGAATGGGATTTTAGGCAGGATCATAATTAACTCTTCAGAGGAAATGGCGTTCAGTTTAGCACATCGCAGTCATGCCCAGCTAGCCTCCACACCCCATCTCTCCTCAGGGTTCTGAGGATCAAGACCTGGGCAGAAACACTTGATGAAGGACTTTTTCTTATTAAAAGTGTAAACAGGCCAAATAGAGTAGAACCCTATAAACAATCTTTTTAAAGGAACCAGACGGCCAGGCCCAGTGGCTCATGTCTGTAATCCCAGCACTTTGGGAGGCTGAGGCAGGCGGATCACTTGAGGTCAGGAGTTCAAGACCAGCCCGACTAACAAGGTGAAACCCTGTCTCTACTGAAAATACAAAATTAGCCAGGCGTGGTGGTGCATGCCTGTAATCCCAGCTACTTGGGAGCCTGAGGCAGGAGAACCACATGAACCCGGGAGATGGAAGTTGCAGTGAGCCAAGATTGCACCATTGCACTCCAGCCTGGGCGACGAGCAAACCTGCATCTCGAAAAAAAATAATAAAAGGTGGGGGGGAGCCAGATAATCTATTATTTTATCTTAGTACTGCCTTTGCTTCTAGTTGCATGGGTGAAATATTTCAATGTAGGGGAAGAATACAGGGTGAGAAGTAAGAGTAAGCCCTGATTTAGCTTGCTTAGTGCTAGTTTGAGTCCTTCAGTGGCAGGGCAGCCTGTAAAGTACCACGAGTATGGGAGTGTTATAATGGCAGAGTGAAACGATTAGAGCAGGGAGGAAGTGAATTGTGCCATTAGTACTTTCATGCAAATTATACCATGTGATTTTGGATAGCGAATGATTTTTGCATCATTCACTCACAGCTCATTGCTTTGTTAAGGTGAGAAGGGTAATTCTTACTTCTCCCATCACCACCTGTAGCTAGAAACAGGAAAGGGAGAATGAGATGATCCAGACAACATAAAAAAGATACATGTAAGCAGAAACCAGATGGTCTTTGCAGCACTCACTTAATGGACATTGTCGCCAGAGCTTTGTGTTTATCAGATTTGATGTTTGCAGCTAGTCTGGGCAGATGAAGAACAGAAATAGATGGAAGTATAGGCATAATTTCTGCCCAAGCAAACTCTGCAAGGCTCAGGGAGCAGAAAAGACTCCCCCTCCCCCCTGGTTCTCAGACCATCTGGTCATAACACAATCCTAATAGTTTCTTATTATCTAGTGTAAATGCAACAAAGACAAGGGCCCTAAGCTTCTCTACTTATTAGATATATTACTTTTGGCAATTGATTTAACTTTTGCCAAGCCCCAGTTTTCTAATCTAGGAAATGATAGTGATAAGTTCTGCATATAGGGTTGTTACAAAAATTAAATGAGATAACGTGTAAATCAGTTAGCACAGTGTCTCACACCTAGAATGCATTCAAGAAATAATACCTACTATTAGATTAGTCATAGTTATAGAATATCATCAAGGGCCTACATTTGTATAAAACGCTGCCTTTACACACAATATCCACTTAAAACCCCTTTAAACTTACTCGGGGGAATACATACCACTGATTTTTGGACCCATAATTTGATGATCTACAGATAATTCTTTTGGGAATTAAATCTGTGTGAAAGTGAAATGACTGGAGAACAAATGAGGGTCAGAGATAGCGATCAATCATATACCAGAAATTTTTTCCCCGCTTCAATAAGGGCTAAAAGGTAGTGCCGTTTGTAGGTCTGGGATTTATTTTGTGTGTGTGTGTGTGTGAGAGAGAGAGAGAGAGAGAGTCCAAGTCTCACTCTGTCACCCAGGCTGGAGTGCAGTGGCTCGATTTCAGCTTACTGCAACCTCTGCCTCCCAGGTTCAAGTGATTCCCCTGCCTCAGCTCCCCAAGTAGCTCTGATTATAGGCACGCACCACCATGACTGGCTAATTTTTGTAGTTTTAGTAGAGATGGGGTTTCACCATGTTGGCCAGGCTAGTCTCAAACTCCTGACCTCTGGTGATCCACCTGCCTGGGCCTCCCAAAGTGCTGGGACTACGGGTGTGAGTGTGAGCCACCGCGCCCGGTGTAGGATTTCTGATAGAATGGAAGCCTTAAGTTCTAGCTCAATTAGAATAACCAACTTACCACTCCTTGTTCTCCAAAATATATTGAGAACCTTACCCATCCCAGATGATTAGAGTTTACAATCTGTGACTTCTGTGCTTAGTTGTAGTATTTCTTTATGTTGCCCAAAGTAACAGATTCAACAAAAATGTGCTGAGATCCCCATGTACCGGGTACTGAGCCAAGTGATCTCACATACCTGAGCTCATTAAATCATTTATTTCTCATATCAACCCTGCGAGAGCAGTTATATCCCTATATTATGAATGACAAAACTGAGCCTCCACTATGTTGAATGCTTTGTCTAGTTGCAAGGCAGGATGCAAGGCTAAGCTTTGGCTTTCTTTGGGATGTACCTTAACGAGGTAATCAATTGGTCTTGACCATTTTTACACTGGGAAATTGGTTTTGCTGCACAGCTTGGGAATGAAGGATATCTAGAAGAAAGACATAAAGCTAAATCTAGGCCAGAAAAATAAGACTTCCCCCACGGTAGATAGTGCCACTTATTTGGTTAGTTTTTTTGTCTGTCATGACTGACCCAGTCTTTTGCCTAGTAGGTTATTTTTTGGTTATTTTTTGTGTGTATGTATATATGTCTTCGTGTGTGTGTGTGTGTGTGTGTATATATACACACACACAAGGTAGCAAGCGGACATCATGCCTTTCTGCTTTGTACTGTACTACTGCTGCTAGCAAATAACCAGCAAAATGTAGAAAATAAAAAACCAATTTTCTGTAGACAACTTGGAGAAAAGAGTGCCTGCCCCTGACTTAGCGGGGCAGAGAATGACTATTTTTAAAGTTTGCCTTTTCTGAAGGCCAGCTGCTTCTAGCCCACTGCTGCCTAGGCAGCAAGGGGCAAGCCGAGTCATTGCGCATGTGGCGCTTCCAGCTCTTACCTGTGGAGCTGACCTGGGCTCAGATAATCCCCTGTGACTGGCCATTGGAGCGGTGCAGCTCCTAAGGCTTGTTCACAGCATCCAGAGGTCTCTTACAGTAAACAGATTGCATATTGTTGACAGACTGCAATCTGTCTGTGTTCCCCACACCAACTCCATTTCCAAGATGGGAATTTTATTCAGGGACTCATTCCTTGAGTTCCCAATATATTGACTTTGCATCCATTACTGCTCACCAAGGCAGAACCATAACAGTGGTGTGTGACAAAGCCCAAACAATGGAAAAGGGAAGATTTTCAGCCCATTCTTGAAGCTGAGAAATGAGGTTTTGATTTATGATAGAAGACAGTTCTAAAAAGCAGCTGGCAGCATGGGCTTCAATTTGTGCCCGTTCTGAGTTCAAAGAGAAGGAAGGAAAAGGAGCCACATAAAATGTACACATTCAATTCATCTTAGAATGATAGCTCCCACCTTATTACACTGTACAACTATTTAATAATCTGGATTACACACATCCAGAGGTGAAATGAAGAAATTTTCACTTACAAAAGTGTATTTCCAAACATGCTAAGTTAACCTCCAGAGAGAAGTGCCTGTAATCTCTGTTCCTGGTGTCACTTTAAAGCTTTTGCTTCATGACTCTGTAGCTGTTGTTTAAAATGTTTTTGCAGCAAACGTGATTTAACAGAAGTTTACAAAGCAACACTGTAGCTAATGCATAATTTTAAAAGTCGATTAACATTTATCTATTGTTAAAGCAACACTAATAATGGAATAAAAGGAAAGTTAATAGGTCAATGTGGCACCATAGGCTTATTTTAGATAAACTAGTTCCATCATCTTATGCAGTTGTAAGTAATGCCAGGATTAAAATATCAAGCAAGCCACATAAACAGTGGCAAATGTGTGTGTGTTTTCCATTTGTTTGGTAAGCAGCCATTTTACTCTTGCACTGTAACGAACTGAAGGGAAATATAAGATAATGCTTTTTTTCCCCCCCATATTGCTATTCAACTACCTCTATATGCTTTATTTCTTTTTAGGATTCCCTTCCTCCAAATCTGTACAAAAACGTTTCAGCTCATCTATGTTGTAATAACAATGTGATCCAGACAGTTTGTGTGAAAGTTGTTTGTTCATTAAAAAAATGTTTCCTATTGCCTCACTTTGTGTCCAACAAAACTGTATTCCTACCTTAGGAAAAGAATTATCCAAGTAGCTTCAGTATCACTTCGGTGGAAGCTGAGTAGAAAGGAATGCTTCAGGAACATCTATTTTGTTCTTGTTCCCATTGGTTGTAATACCTTTGACCAGAGGATCCTTTAAGGAAATATACCTGCATTCAGACAGCAAACTCCCATGTATGTGACAGTG